GTTGGATTTCGCTCTTGAGGAAGAGTTATTGAAAATGCTGTATTCTCCGCTATTAGAGAGCTTCACCTCAGCCATTCAGAATGTGGTGCGCTCAGCAGCAGATAGATGCACTGCAGAGGTTATGATTATGCTCAGTCCCGCGGAGGAGAGGTCTGAGGATTTAAACATTAAACTAAATTATTATTGTTTAAATATATTTATTATGCAACACCCGCAACCCGACCCGCATCATCTTTTTTTACCCAGAAGCGAACCCGGAAAAAAGCTTTTGAAAAAATACCACCCGCAAATCACCTTTTTTGCGGGTCACCCGTCGGGTACCCGCGGATACCCGACCCGATGCAGGACTCTGCTATCTGGTCAGTAGGTTGAAAACTGTCTATTGGTTCCATCACCTGCCAGATCTCTCTGCAGCATACACATTCATCTGCAGTGGGCATGCTTTCACATTGACATGTACACCTGAATATTGTACATAACATAAAAAAAAAACAATATCTGCCGGACGTGTGAGGAACAGATGACAAATTAAGATCGACATTTAGTGCAGGTCAAATTAAATAAAAAAGAATTTACCATTCAGTATTGCCGACTCGAGTCTCGCCGGCTGCGGAATCCGCTTCTCTTTCACAAGTTTCTGCCTCGTTGTTCGATTGCCGGGCAGGAGGCTCGTACTGATAAGGCAAGATGCCTTGAAGTGAAAGGCTAGCTGGTTCACTCTCTACTTCTGTAACTGAATCCAGATAACCCACCGAATCTGAGCTTGAATGATCGCTGTCGCTGTCGCTGTCTGAAGTTGTCGCGTTGCTTGCCATTTGGACTGATTTGATCAAATGGCAATATTTGCCACGTGTGACGTCACCGCTCGTTCGGGAGTGATCGGGGGCGTACTCTGCAAACTTCGGAACCAACATCGGTTTTTAACGTATATGTCATTTAATTATGACCAAACTTTAAACATTTTTATTTATTTTTATTCTGGTGATATCTAAACTACATGTTAAAAAACACCTGTGTTAGATGCATTACATGGCCTTTAAGGTGCAGTTTAAGGTTGGTCGTATTGCTAGCTTTTGTTGCTACCTTTTTGAAACAAATGTGACACACCGGCTCATTCAAGTCCGTAGGTTCGCCTCGTTTATTTGGCTTAAATCCAAAATATTCCCACACTGGAGATGTGGAATTATGTTTTGCAACCAACTCCATTTAACTTCAAATTTCCCTCGAGTAAGCCACATGTTGTCTCCTGCTTGTCTCTATATTATTCATTTGGCTGCTACACGCGGAGTGTCCTACCTGGCTGTGTGTGAGCCCCGCCCGCATTTTTATTTATCGTACGATAAGTCAATTAATTGCTTATAGGGCCAGGTAATTAAAATATAACAGGATTTATTTTATGTCACTTGTCTGACACACCTTAGTTTGGTTATTATTTTGAAAATGGGTCAGAAAGTCCATGCAGTTAAACCAAACAGTAGCAAGGCTAGTGATGGTGTAGAAAATCTAATATATTTTACTTAAGTCATATTAACATATAAGCTTAAAGGTAGCAAACCATGCTTGACAAACATAAAAAACAACAAACTAATATACTGGTTTTAGCTTTCAACAGGCAGCATCGATGCCGTGTGACTAACCCATCTCAAAAGAAGCAGACTAACGGAAAGCGACACATGCCCTTTAAAACTCCCAAGCCCTGGGCCCAGTCTCTCATAATTCCACCAATTATGAAATTCAATACTAACAAAGCAGTACAACAGTTGCTTTTTACGTGTGGCATCACCATATCTGGACAAAGGTGATTAATGATTAAACTTAAACCCATAGAAATACCCCGTCCCAGCATGGCTTCTGCAGAGCATGTGTCAGATTTATCCTCTCACTCCCTTTACCTTTCTCTTTACAGCCTTCCAGGCTGGATTACTATTGAAAGGACACTTTGTTTGTTTTCCATTTACAGAGGCAGGGCTGTGCACAAACACCCGACAGCTAGCGGGCCATGAGGAGAGATCAGCTGATGTGACAACAAGTGTATTGTGTTAGCATCGCTGAAATAGACCAATCACCACAATGACTACTTTTACTTTTGGTACTTTAAGTATGCATTGATGGTATTACTTTTGTACTTTTACTTGAGTCACATTTTGATTGCAGGGCTTTTACTTGTAACAGAGTATTCCTACACTCTGGTACTTCTGCTTTGACTCAAGTACAAGATCTGAGTACTTCTCCCTCCCCTGATTAGGGTATAGGTTGCATGCAAACAAACTGAGTAAGAAATGCTGAAATGAGGACAAAACTGCCCCTGTACCAGGGCTCAGTCCCTGCTGTGATTGATGACGTATATAAATGATTACAGACTGAGAATGCCGAACATAAGCTTTATCCAACTGAGGCTCATTAAAGCAGTGACAAGAGCTCAAACTAAACACCAGACAGAAATGTAGCTCTCCAACACATTGTACGTTATAGGCTAAGGGGCGGGACATCTCTAAGCGAATGACCAATCACAACAGAGCCGGCCAGCTAACCAATCAGAGCAGACTGGGCTCTGGTTTCAGACAAAAGCTTTTTGAACATTGAAGCCTGGAGACATGTCCCAGTAGAGACCTAAATACAAACCTTTAAGAAAATAGATTTTCATGGCCTTTTACCTTTCATATATGTGTTAAAATCACACTGTAAAAATAAAGTATTATGCATAATAAGATATTCTATTCTTTGAATACCTTTTACGACATTTTGATTGTAGGACTGGTAGTGTTTTAACTTTTTGGTTTTACTACTTCCCTTAGCTAATGGATGTGAATCTTTCATGACATCAAATCAAATCAGGTTTTATTTATATAGCACATTTTAAAAACGATTTTTGATTGAGCCAAAGTGCTGTACATGCAAATAATAAATAACACATTACTATAGTCGCAAACAGCAGACAATAAATTACAACAGCAAATATAAAAATCAAACACAGTGAAATGTCATGAGTCGTGCTCCGCTATGATAGAAGGCCAGGGAGAAGAAGTGAGTCTTTAGTGTTGATTTAAAAACCCCTAGGGTCTGGGCCGACCTCACATGGAGGGACAGAGTGTTCCAGAGCCTGGGGCCAGCTGGTTTTGAGCCTGGTCTTGGGCACTACCAGCAGCAGCTGGTCAGCCGACCTTAAAGCTCTGGCTGGGGTGTAGCGATGGAGGAGTTCAGCTATATAGGCCGGAGCCAGCCCATTTAGTGCTTTAAAAACAAATAAAAGGAGTTTAAAATCAATGCGGAACCGAATTGGAAGCCAGTGTAGTGAGGCCAGAATTGGGGTGATGTGGTGACGGGATTAAATGGTAGCATGCCAGATGGGTCTGACCTGACTGTCCAGCAGCGTGTCCTCGCAGCCCTCCAGAGCCTCACACACCGTGTCGCTGCACTGAGGACAAACCCACACCAGGTCTCGCATGGTCTGCACCACGGCTGCCAGAGACACAGGGACACACAGAGGGACAGTTTGTCTAGGAACAGGAATTACCACTTGTGGTTGAATGTTGCTCTCCGGTTGAAACCATGTCTATCAAATATGTCATAACTTTATATATATACTATTAGACATTTGTGTACAATTTTAATAATTAGCATACGAATTATTGAGCAATGGCTAAAAACAAAAAACTATTTGAGTCATCAATAAAATCTAATCAGTGGCCAAATTCAAAGAAATCCCCTGAAAGATTTCCTGTTCAAGTAAAAGTAGAAATACTTCGGTCTGAAAATACTTCATTACAGGTAAAAGTCCTGAATTCAAAATGTTACTTGAGTAGAAGTATAGAAGTATTGACAGCTAAAAGTATCAAAAGTAAAACCTATTATAGAATATTAAATGATTCCTTCCTTCTTTTAATTGCTTACAAATACATGTACAAACAATTCAACATCATTTTGTATGTATTTTGTAGTAACGTACTGCGTTATAATCATATCAAAATGTTGTGTTTTTTTTATGGAAACAGTAGCTGGTAACTATTAGTGTTAAATAAATGTAGTGGAGTAAAAAGAACAATAAATGTTTCAAAATGTAAGGGAGTAAAAGTATAAAGAAGCATTAAATGGAAATACTCAAATAAAGTACTACAAAATAGTACTTAAGTACAATACTTGAGTAAATGTAATTTGTTACTTCTGAACAGTGTAAGAGAGTGGGACGGACATATGATGAAACACCAAAACCCCCCTGTGAGGATTAAACACAGGTGCTGACAACTGTGATGGAATGAAAGGGCTTTAGTATTCAGTCAAACTAATGCAGCAGCACAATGACTGGAAATGCGTGTGTGTGTGTGCGTGTGCGTGTGCGTGTGCGTGTGTGTGTGTGTGTGTGTGTGTGTGTGTGTGTGTGTGTTTTTTACCAGAAGTGATGTGTTCCTGTTTGAGCCCCAGCAGTCCAGTGAGGATCTCCAGACATCTGTCGCTGTAGCTCCGCCCAATTCCACCTGCACCCAGTTCAGACAGGAAGTCACAGGAGGGGAGGGGAACATTAGAAACTCTGTCCCACACAATGAGAGGTTTGAAATGTTGCTCATCTCGTTTCTCTGGCTAGATTTTTAGATTAGATTCAAATGTTTTGTCATTTCACGTAAAGTACAACAACATGCAGTTTGCATCCAGGTTACAGTATATTCACATTAAAAACTTGCTTTTGTAAATGTATTAAAGTATTGGCATCAATATATACTTTGAGTACCAAAAGCAAAATGTCTTATTATGAGTAATAACTCAATTCAGAATAATTTGGATTACATTTTTATTTTGGACGTATTCATATTTTCATCACAGCTGGTAAAGGTTGAGCTCCTTTTAATACCTGTATACTGCTGCTGGATATCTTAACCTATAATTATATATCATAGTTCTTTATTAGTTTATTTATATTCTGTTTTAGCCAATAATCGTATTCTTATAAGTAATAAGCAACTCATTTAGTCAAATAAATGTAGTGGCGTAAAGTACAATATTGGCTTCTAAATTGTACTGGAATATAAATATAAAGTAGCATTAAAGAAATACTAAAGTAAAGTACACTAAAATCGTACTTACGTGTACAGTACTTGGGTAAATGTACTACACTACATTACACCAATGCAAATGTGAGAAATGGTAAAGAGTTTGCATAACTATGGAATACATATTTTCAGAGGGGTTTAGGCATGTATACGTTGTATACCTTTGAAATAGAGATTTATTAAATGTGTACATAGCAGTGTAATGTGAGTGTGAGGCGCTGTGGGTAGAAAAAGGAAAGAGTGCTAACTGAAGATCCAGACGTCAGAGTACTTAAATCCTTTATCAGATTAGAAATACAGTATAGTTAGAAGGTAGAATTGTGGCATTGAGCTGGATAAAAAACACTTCCCAATGTACTAACACTGAGTCCTTACTGCAGGGACACTTTTCACTGGGTTTGTTTATTGTTGAAAATATTTTGGATAATGTTCTCGAAGACATTTTTAAAATAGGTCTGGCCAACGCTTTTATGTGGAAATATAATGACTAATCTATAATCTATATAAATAATGACTATGTTTTTAGAATCCTTAAAAAAGGCTTGTTTAACAATAGCAGACAGTGTTTAATCTGTGGCTGCTTTCATCCTCTGGTTACTGTTCAACCCGGCTCAGAGGGGAATGTTGACATTTGTAGAACAGGGAAGTGAATCGACAAAAACAGCCAGGTAATACTGTTAAAGAAGCTGCCTGAGCTTTACTGAAGTTAAGCATTTAGAAATAAAGTGTAATATGACAGAAACAGGAGAGAATATAAGTGAGTCTTTCTGAAACATGAAATGACAGCTCATTTTTTATTCTGTATATATATATATATATATTTATGTATCTATTTTATTCTTTGGGATGGTGAGAAACGGCATTTTGGAAATTGATAATAAAGATGACTTGGACTTTGACTTGGTGTGTGTGTGAGTAAAAGGGTGTGTGACTGGCCTTAAGGAAATGACTGCCTGTGAGTGTTTGCCTTGTAACAAAGACATGGTGCAGCAGCAGTGTGTGCATTATGTTGCTGCAGGAGTGTGTTTACCTATGGCTGAGATGGCAGCCTGGGCGGTGTCAGTGTTCACGTCGGTACAGTACCCTCTCAGCTCGTCCAGTATCATTGCAACATTGTCATCATTCACCAGCTCCACCAGCACCTGCAAACACAAACAGCTTCAGTTCACTGACAGCACCCAGTACTGATGTGGCTATACCGGGCAGTGAGTGTGGATACCATTAAAGGGTACCCAGCACTTCAGTATCCGCCACTATTCCGATTAGGAAAAGTAATCACGTCTAATTCAACAGTGTGTACAGTATGAGTTAACATGTACAAGTGTTTGGTTTCTTTTAAAGGGAAGGAAATACATTCAAAAACATAAACACAAAAGGATTTTGTAAGGAGGTTTATATAAGAGGACTTAATTGCAAGTGCCAACTATGCATACTTAATCCCACTAAACTCTTGTTCCAGTTCACCATGTAACTCCATTTAGAAAAACCAGCTTATGGCAGCACAGGTGTGGTGAGAGAAGACAAACAGCATCATATAAAAGAAAACAATAAAGGGGTTACATTTAGGCTGCAGTTGTTTTTGTCACTATATCCTGACAGTGGTGCATGACACATAAAATCTGTGGGGAAAAAAAAAATCTCTATCCTCCTCAGGCTTTGGGAGTAACGGATTACATGTTACAGGTTCAAGTTATAAGGATACAAGAAAAAGGTAAGTATTTCCTTACGGTCACATCAAACATACATAATCAGATTCCTGGTACATTGTTTAAAAGTGGGGATTACTAGCAGGATCACAATGTTATGTTTCGATGTATGATAGGGAGACGTACCGTCTGGATTTTCCTTTTGGGTTTTATTTAGGCTACTTTGATTAAATTTGTTTATTTTTAAATGCAGTAGGTTGATACCTGATCAGTGATCTATCAAGGAAAGAAAACTGTGTTTGCTTTGAATGAATGTGTTCAGCTAAAACAGCATTTGTAAACTATACTATGCTGAAAGCCTAGAGGACACATATTTGATACAAAATATCTTGGTTTCTTATTTTCTAAGGTCACTTTGTTCTGTTGTAAAAACATCTTATTGATATCCCTTTTCTCTCCTTTATTTATTGCATTTGATATTGAGGTAATCCAAAAGTAAAAACGGAAAGTAATCAGGATACATTTATTTTATATTGTGATGCTCAGATTAACGGAATACATTTTTTAAGTAACCCTCCCAACCCTGATCCTCCTAGACTCATAAAAGCATTTGGAAAATTACAATGCATTTGGGTGAAAACAGCCAATCAGAGGCAAGGAGCCTCTACTGAAGAAAGGGGTTAAACTAGGTCACATATGAATCAGGATTCTGTTAACTATTTCTGGCCTAAAATGTTTCAATGTGCTCTCTAGCTGTGTAGAACATGGACCTGTTGAACATGTGTTCTGTTCTTTTAAGAACTATCTGACAGTTGAAAAGCAACACTCTAGGCTCGTCTCAATACCCCTCCTCGACTCCTCTCTTCCCCTCCTCTAGGACTTGACCCAGAAATCGATCAAGACACGCCATTTTGAAGGACGTCCCAATAGCTGAAATGCACACGGAGGAGCCAAGGGGGGGTGAGGGAGGAGGGGTGCAGGAGGAGACGAAAGGGAGGATACACGAGAGCAGACTACGCGGAAGTGTTTTCACAACGTGAATAAAAGCCCCTCCCCCTCCTTCACAGCTCGTCGATTTCAACCAGTCTATGATTTCAACAGAGGAAAACGGAGAACTGGAAGATGAGTCGGAAAAGCATCACATAAATGTATAAGTGCTCACAGCTCCGTGGGAATTATTATGTGCAATTCATTTCTTAAGGTTATACTAACAATTTAAGTCATGTTTAATGATCTTGAGCGTCACTAATACATAGCTATTAAGAAAGCTATTTCATAAATGGCTAGATCTTGATAAATAACAATTATTTGTTTTGTTTTGTGTTAAGATATTCAGGAGTTAAATGATTTAAAATTCACAGTCCTGAATGTGGGTTTGTGGTGAATGTGGGGATCTACAGGACACACATGTTCAGAGTAAAGGCTTTCACATTACTATCATTATATTTTTTATTTAATTGTAGGCTACATTTGATAACAAAACGGAACACAAAAGCAGGACCAACCATCACACATTGAATTCCTTGACTAACAAGAGAAAGATCCATTCATTTAAATAAATACTTAACAACAAATGGGCCGGTTCTAAAGGGTTAATCAGTTAAGCCCGATGAGAGGGGATACAGCTTGCAGGCGTCGTTTAAGAGTGAAGTTTGGGTGAACGAGGACATCCCAATTAATACCTGAGGACTCCTCTGTCCTCGTGTCTCTCGCTTGCATCTTACGGAGGCGGAGCTAAGACGCAAGGAAGGGACGCGAGTGAGGGAAAGGAGGAGGTCAAATATTCAATTGAGACGAGC